ACCAACGCATGTGACTAGCCAGTAGGCTGAGCCCATAGGCTGCCATGCCTGCGCCCACGCCAGACCTCGGCCCACGAGAGAGAAGTTTCCCACGATCCGAACGGTGCCTAGCCCATGAAAGGTTCCTGGAACTTTCTTTTTCGCCTTCTTCTTTTCCTGTTAGTTTGCATACACGGTGTACCGTCATCTCACTGCTTCGCCCCCTCCCCGTTTTCCCTTCTTCCAGTCGTTCTCCATCACCTCTCGCTCTCTCTCTCTCTCTCTCTCTCTCTCTCTCTCTCCCCTCGTTCTCCATCCCGATCTAGATCCCTTTTGTGCAGAGCAACGATGGCGGCACCGCGAGCTAGAGGAGCGCAGGAGGGGGAGCAGCGGCGTCTTCCGGGGCCGCCTTGGCGGCATGGAAGGGGACGAAACGGCCGTCGTGGCGGCGGTGGAGGCTGAGGTTGTGGGGTCGGTGAAGACGGAGGAGCACATCATGATCCGGATCGAGGTAGGGGGGTTGAACACACGATTCATCCATTGTCCCTTCTTTTTTTCGAGATCCAAAGCAAATTCTTCGGTTCTAATACCTCTTTTTTTAAGATTGCATCCACTGATACTGTTTCTTTTGCAGTCCCTGAACAAGAAGTACGGCAGCAACGTGCCGCTGCTCCTGATGAATTCCTTCAACACCCATCAGGACACGTTGAAGGTAGATTAATTACCATCATCCAAATCACTTCTGACATTGGCGATTGGAAGGCTGTTTAAAAAAATACCAATTCCCTCGTCATGCTGATTCATACATTTGCGCCGCAGATTGTCGAGAAATACGCCAATTCAAACATCCAAATCCATACATTCAACCAGGTATGTCAAGCCATATATCCTGATTTGTTGTTTCAATCAGGTATGCTTATGACATTTACGAATTCTGTTCTGATATGCAGAGCCAGTATCCTCGTGTCGTGGCCTTCCAGGGGGAGGACCGTCAAGGATGGGTGGTAAAACATTCATATGCATCGCCCGTTAAGGATGGCTGGCCGACGAGTTCTGAATATTGTGACGTTGAAACTCCAATTAGTGTATACAGCGAGATATAACGAGTGATTGACAAAAAAACTATCAGTTTAGGGGTTTGCGTCCCACAGAACTACCACTTTTTTAAAAGTGGCCGAAAACTATCAAAAAAACGTAAAAACGTGACAAAAAACTACCAGGTTGACTGAATGGTGGTTTTGACCGTTTTAACCGCGATTCTGACGTGAGTGGCCCACGTGCCAGGCTGGCGGCCCGCCTAACGGCGCGCGCGGCTGTTAGAGCCGCTCGTCGGTCGCACCTGGTCGGGACCAGGTCATAACCTGGCCGACCGGGCCGCTCGTCCCCACCAGCTCTCTCACTCTCCCCTGAGCTCACTCAACTCCTCTCTGCTCTCCTCTGCTTCTGTTTCTTCTTCTCGCGCTCCGGCGACGCCGTGACCATGCCGTCGTGGCTGAACAACAACGAGACGTTGGAGGACGATGACGAGTACATGAGTGAGTTCAGCAGCATGCAGATGGAGTACTTTGTAAGTCATCTCAGTCTATCCTCTTCCTCTCCTGTCTGTTCTGTTCTAGGGTTAGGGTAGGGTTAGGGTTTGAAGATATTTGAGATTTTTCCATTTAAGTTGATATATCTGAGTTGTTCTTGATATAGATATGCTTTTGTTTTTGCAGCAAACTCCTGACACTGTGATAGACCCTAGTTTCTGTGGGCTTGTGACTGAATCTGACAGAAGGTGCATCCCGCACAGGAAGAGGGCGGGCAAGTTTGTGGCATTTGAAGGCACTGACACTAGCAGGAGATTCATAGGATGTGCTACTGAGGTAATGGACCAAGTTGGTGTGGATTTGATTAGTTTGAATTTCTGCTATGTAGTGGAAACAAAGTGTTTAGTTGCTGTTATTCTGAATTTTCCTTAAGTCTGAAAACATTGGTATGTCTGAATACTTTACTTGTAGTAAAGAGCACTGGAAACATGTATGAATACTGTACTTGTAGTATAGAACTAACTAGCTAGTGTAGCTTATATCATTATTGTTTATGATTTGTTATTCTGAATTTAATTGTTCACTGTAAAATTAAGAGTAATTGATTTTCAGGATGGTGTGAATTGTGGTGTTCTGGAGTGGGTAGATGTCCCCTGGCCTGTAATTCTGCAAAGGTGCTTAAGCAAGCTCTGGGAACAGAACCTTGGTAGAGCCCAGGATAATGAGGCTCATGGGATAGAGGTTGCAAAACTGCAGAAGGAGCTTGCTTCTCTGGCCAATCAGTATAGCCAGCTGGTGGATGATGTGTCCAAGTTGTTTGATTATCAGGATGGAATCAAACCTCATGACATGGGTTGCACAAGCCAGGCAATCAATGAACTAAAGGAGAAGAAGAAGCAACTTGAGGAGCAGGCAAAGATTGAGCTTCAAATGGAGAAGCTTAAGCTCAAGAAAGAACAAAGGTGCATCCTTCAGAGTCAAGCTGATATAATCCAGAACACAAGGAAGGCCATGAAGGCGCTAGAGGTGGAGAAAGATCTCCTTAAAGAAGAGAAGAAGAAGCTGGAGAATGTCATTGCTGAGCTCCTTAAGGTTGGTCATGGGTGCAAGGAAAAGCTGGACAAGATAAAGGAAGTTGTGATGGAGGAGTGAAGTGGCAGGTCTCTGGATGGTAAGTATATGTGAGGCCTATATATATAATTGGCCTAGGAATGATCAGTCTGATGCAAATATGCCTTGATCTACTTATGAACTACCTTTGAACTACCTAAGAACTGTAATGGGTTCAGATCATTTTGGTTGGTGTGGGGGTGGTGTTTGCCCTGATCTGTACTGCCCAAATATTATCCTGATGCTGAGAACTGGTGCTAAGTTAAGTTAAGAACTAAATTATCTAAGTCTGGTGTAGTTTATTTGTGTGTGTTGTATCATAAGTTCTTGCTGAGATTTGTTTACTTCATAAATTGCTTCATCACAGGTCCCATAGATAGCATTTAGTCTTACATAGATAGGACATGGACACTGAAATTGTTCAAAGACACTTAAACTGACAGAACTAAATCTCACTGAGATTGCAAACACCCTGATAAACTGACAGAACTAAACTGACATAACTGAATCTCACATAGATCTGGCGATAACTGAATCTGAAACTTACTGTTTCAGATTGTTAGGCCCCTGCCCCGCTATGCGACCTGACCGTCGCACCTCTTGCTTGACTTGAGTGGTAGGTGGCAGCTCTGGCACCTCCTCTTCGTCTCTATCGATGGCGATGATGGGAGGAGGACGTCAGCGAGCCAGCAGTGCTGGTGGGGCGATGATCTGCAGGTCCTCGTCGGCGTTGCCCATAGTAGTTTGAGTTGCAGCTTGTGCTAGAGGGATATAGCGGTGGGCTGCCCACCGTTCCCTCTGCCCAGCATCGCCGGAGTCCGCCTCCTTCATTGCCCACAGCAACATGCCGATGGGCATGATACCCTTACCTGGGGTTGCATAGCGCTGGTCCATGCGCTGCTTCTCCTCAGTCGTCGCCTTCTTCCTCACCTCTTTTGATGCATCCACGAGCCCTTGTGCGCTGCTGTATCTCATGGCAATCTTCATGTAGTCGAGGAAGAGGTCTTCGTCGCTGCAAGCCGACCCAAAAAGCATGGCAACCCAGCCCTTGCCGGTGGGGAAGGGGTTCAGCCATGGGTCTGGCGTAGAGGAAGAACCAGCCATGGATGTAGGTGGAGTGAGGTTTTCGAGAGAGAGGTAGAGTGAGAAGAGATAGAGTGAGCTGTTGGGCTACTTAAATGTTGGAGTGGAGGAAGTGTGGTGGAGTGTGAAAGTGAGGTTTTCGAGATTGAGTGATGAGAAATGGTGGTAGTTGTGTTGCAATTAAAGTCTTTGTTGAAACCCAGCAACTCGGAACTTGTGTGCCCAAACAGTGGAGTAGTTGATGGTCAAACAGTGGAGTATTTCAAAAATTAGAGTCACCAAAAAATCACATTTCAGCAAAGCCCAAGTATAGAAACATTCAGATAAATGCAGATAGATGGATTCAGGCATAAGTTCAGACTTAAAAATATTGTACCATGGATACATTTCTTAGAAAATAAGCATAGTCTTTATCATAGATTTTCCAACAACCCAACATAGATGGTTCAGAAAATAAGCATAGTCTTTAACATGAGTACTCTCTTTAACAGATTCAGGCAGCCACATTGCATCGTCTTCATCACGGTTGGTGCATCTCTTGAACTGCATCCTTCACTGCAATCATAAAGTTCAGAAAGTTCAGAAGAAGACAAGATTCAAAGCAAGACTAAGAACAAGATTCAGGGCAATATTGAGCACAAGACAAGCAGATTCGGAAACACCACAATTTAGTCAGAAACTACCGCGTAGAACTAATCCCAATCCTGTCTTCCTTCTGCTGCAGCCAGGATCTGAGTCCATCTCTTCCTTGTTGCTTGGAATCGATGGAAAGAAGCCCTGTCTTTGGCCCACCAGATGATTAGTTCATCTGTGATGTTGGTTCCTTCTGGGAACACCTCCTTGAACTGCTTCACGTCATTCTGGTTGCGTTCCGCCATAATCATGGCAGCAATCCTTTGGTGTCGCTCCTGTGCTTGTGCTCGACGGTTGGCCCTCCTTTCAGCCCTCCTTTCAGCCCTAGCAACCTCGTCTTGTTCATCAACTACCTCTCCTAACTGTGGATCCATCAGTGGCGGCTAGGTTTTGGTCAAGGGGAATGAGGCGCAGAGATCCAGTGGTTTCTGGTGGCCTCTCTTATGTACACACTGTGGCAGGCTTGGTGGGTTAGTTAGGTCCAACACGGAAGCCCACCATCAGGCCCATGGTACACCACAAATTTGATACAAGTACAGTGAGATTCGGTCAGGTTCACCCAAATTCAAACATACTCATGCAGAAAAGTACAGACAGGTTCAAAATAAAGAGAAACAGGTTCTAAACTAATTCAAACAGGTTCAAAGAGAGAAGTTCTACCTTTTTATAGTGTCAGTTACCACTGGCATAGAAATAACCCCTCAATCTACTGCTTGCAAACCTCTTCCTTTTGTTACCAGCCAAAACCTCTGAAGTTGCAGCAACAGATCTTGGTGCACTGAATTCCTTGCCTCTCCCTCCACCTGTAGGCCTATCCCTTTTGGCAGCAGGAGTTGGTGCTCTTGCACTAGGGGCTGGTGCTCTTGGAGTTTGTATTGGAGCAGATGGAGCAGGTGCATAGACTGCCCTATTTTCCTACATTAAAGGTCCAACTTAACTTAGATTAGACTATGTAAAAGGAAACATTGCTCTGATGCTTGATAATTACCTGGTGTTTGTTTTTCCTCATTTGTAGTTTAGGCCTAAGAGTCTTATTGCAACTTGTATACTTGTGTCCTTCCAACCCACAATTTTTACAGGTAATTGTTCCCATCCTACTGGTGTCTCTTGGGGCAGGAACTTCAAACTCTCCTTTCCTCCTTGCAGTCTGTTTTCTGCCTGCCTTTTCTTTGAACACAGGAGGTTCAATGTCTGGAGTGTTTGTGTGAGGCCAGAAATCTGGACCAGGAACAGGGTATATAATTTCTTTGTATGTCTCCAAATAAAGTGGCTTGTTGAAAAAGTCATTGACATAGTCCTCAGGATGCAGCTTTTGCTTTGTCAGTACAGATATGCCATGACTGCAAGGTACACCAGTCATGTTCCATCTCTTGCAGTCACATGTATACCCTTCCATGTCCACACAATACTGTTTTTCTTTGCTAGTAACTTGCCAAATTGTTGGACCTGCTCTATCAGCCTGACAATACTTGGCATACTGCTTGTTCTCTTCTAAAATCTTTGAGTAGGTTGGTGTGATTGTCTACCTGCTAATTTGTAACTTCTCCCTAATTTGTTGCCTCTTGATCATTAGCTTGGTCCTAATCCCTTCAAACATTGTCCTTATTGGTTTGGCCCTAACATCCAGTATCATCTTGTTGAAGACTTCACTTAGATTGTTCACAACTAAATCTGTTTTGCAAGTATGATCCATAGCAAACCTAGCCCAAGTAGAGACCTCAATTTTTTGAGCCATTTCCAAGCATCCTCAGACTATGCTTTCAGCTCTGTCATGCCTAGTTCATGCCCATGTTTAGTGTAGGAGTAGCTAGCCTTGTCAATACACTTCTTTAGTTCCTGGCCTCTAAATCCAGCAGATTGAAAATTTGCATATATGTGCCTAAGGCAATACCTTTGAGGTGAATCATGGAATACCTCATTTATTGCCTTAAGCAAGCCCTGCACATTCACAAATTATTAATACAATTGAAAAAAGTATTAACATAAATTGCTCAATGAAATTCTTCCCAACCTTTTGCCTGTCAGGCATGATAGTGTATGTTCCAAATTTGTTGCCACTGCCAATGCAACATCTCAATTGAGTTAAAAACCAATTCCAACTTTCACCATCTTCCTTGTCAACCACACCAAAAGCTTTAGGATAAATATTGTTGTTTCCATCCCTTCCTGTGGCCGCAAGAATTTGTTGTCCAGTGGCTAACTTGATGAAGCATCCATCAAGACCTATAAATGGTCTGCAACCATTAAGGAAACCTTCCTTTGAAGCTGCTAAACAATAGAACATATACTTGAATCTAGGAGTAGGTGCTGGGTTCTCTGGATCTTCAAATGTTGTTACTATACACCTGCTACCTGGATTTGTGTCAAGAACTGCTTGAAGATAATCCCTGAGCCTCAAGTACTATTGCTTGTGGTCACCTTGAACTACATCAACAGCCTTCCTCCTTGCCCTATATGCCACACTTCTTGATACATCCACTGAAAACTTACTCTTGGTCTTCTTAATTAATGCATCCATAGGAGATCTAATGTCTTCTCTCAATGCTGCCTCCACTGACCTTGACATCCACTTAGTAGTAACCTTTGTGGACTCTGCACATGCTCCACAAGTGTGCAACATATCACACTTCTTGATGCAGAATGTTTTTTCATGAGCTAACCTAGAGGCACATATATAAAAATCACATCCCTGGGTGGCTCTCTCTGAGCACCAAACAATAATCCTATCTGGGGCATTTCTGTGGTATTGAAAATTTCTCAAAGTCCTAATTTGAAAATCCCTAAGTGCATCTCTAAACTCATACACAGTGGTGAAGCACAAGCCCTTACAAAACTGTTCTACTGGTCCTTGAAGTTTGTGATCATACCATATCCTGTCTTTCAACTTCTTATTCCTTCTCTTCCTACCACTTGGTAGTTTATAAGATCCTTCAGGCTCATCTTCTTCATCACTGATGCCATAGTCACCGGGGAAACATTTTTCATCTGCTTCAGGGAACCAATCTGCTTTCTCCATTTTCTCAATCTCATGGTGGGATCTACTAGTTGGACCAGGTTTTCTCACTACCTTCAGTTTCTGTACCACTGCTGTATCTTGTTTTGCAGCTTCATCTTCAAAGGAATACTCTGACTGAAAATCCACATTGTTCCCATCTGAACCTGAATTTGCAGCTTCATCATCAGAAATAAATTTAGACACATCAGTATCACCTTCAAAATGGTTAAGGTCAGCCTCTCTCTGCACCATGCTTTTCTTCAGCTCTTCCTTTCTGTCCATGCTTATATCCACCACCTTAGTGCAACTTTGTTGAGTGTTAATGAAATGT